ATGTGTAACTGTTTTCGATGGTTTAGATTTCAGAATCTCGACTTTATTTTTGTATATACTAGTTGTTTGAAATAAATGTTATACAAAAAAGGGTTTATTTTAACGAATATCCCAAAATTTTATCTCTGTTTATCTTATTTTGGATTGTTTGGGATTTGAGAATCTCAACAATATTATGGGATATATTTATTTATAATATACTAGATAAATAAGAAATGTAGCAATGTTAATTTGATTCCGATTTTAGAGATTTTTAAGTAAATTCTAAATATTATATATTTATATGTGAAAATCTAAAATATTTCAAAATTTGTTATTAGGAAGGTTAGGATTATGAGAATTTAAAAAATTAATTCTTTTTATTATTTATTTAATATGTGTTGAAACTTTTTAATGTGGATTTGACAGGTTCGGATTCATGTGGATATCCAATCGTTCGGATGAGACATGGCCGGTTCCTTACCCGCCCCCCAAACTGGCCCAGAACAGGCACCGGAACCAGCCCGCACGACGGGTCTTGGAACCAGACCCGTGATAAGACCGCGTCAGTTCCGGATCGTAGTTGTTTTTTATTTTTTTACTTTTTTTTTTAAAACCGGCGGTTCAGTTAGACATAGTCGGGCCAGTTTCAGGCCCAACATTTGAGGCCCACCGACCCTGCGGGCCAGGTCAGGTCGTGAACCGGCCCGACCTTTGGATATGTCTATTTTGAATGTATAACTCGTTAAGGGGATGCTTGGACTTTTTTTTTTTGATTTGATTGGATTTTTTGTTTGGTTTGGTTAATTTTAAAAAATATAGTATGATCTGTTGTTAATGAGTATATTAAAATAATATTTGAAATAATATAATTAAAGTTGAATAGTGAATTAAAGTTGATGTGATGCGTAAGAATGATTAATTGATATTATTTAATTATATTGATAATACTGAAGTTGAATTAAAGTTGAGTTAGAAAAAAATGATTGAATTCATAAACACAAAACATATTCTCAAAAGTAGGCCACATAACCACAGAGCATAGATAAATTAACTTTTGAATTTTCATCATAACCACAGAGCATATAGATCAATTGACTTTTGAATTATATAATATCACCGTTCAACTGCTGGTGAGTAAAATTCAACAGGTCTACCATCAATTGAAGAAAAAAAACAGGCCCAGGCAGAGGCTTTTGATGATGATCAAGTCAAAAATGTCTTCATAAAAAGAACAAGACATCCACATAAAAATTTCCACATACACGAGACAGCTGAAATTTAGTTTAGATAGTCAAGACTTTTGATGATGATCAAGTCAAAAATGTCTACACCAAATCAACTTAGCAACAACTACACCTTTCCAACACCCATAATGGTACTGACATGAAGATCTAGTGAAAAATCGAGACGATGAAGAATATTTGGACTCTAATATATAATCAATTCCCTCAAATAGAAACCTATATATATCCTCTAACCAAAGCAGCTTACAAAAGGGAAGAAAAATGAAACTAGCAGTAACGAACAGAGGGGAGTTGGAAAAGAAAAGGAGGAAGCATCACAAAAGACAAACAACACAACCAAAAAAGGGCTGGCTTAAGATAGAGAAAAAAATACGAGTCGAAAAATTCATCGGCATCCAAACCAGAGAACAAAATAAAACACTAGAGTATAATAATCCATGCAGGAGTGCCTCATTTTGCAGAATTTCGTAAACCTATATTCCACAAGAGGGGCAGCGAGCAGCACGTGTTTATTATTATTATTCAGATTTCGTAAAGCACGTGTAGATGGATTCGGGATTTCGTAAACCTAAAGTGAAAAGTGCTTCAGATTTCGTATATCATTATTCAATGAGCGGCACGTGTAGATGGATTCGGGATCAAACACACGTGTTTAACCTCAGCAAACAGACCTGAACCAACTAATTTAGATACAAGTTAGGAAAGTTCGGGGTTGAATAACGAACATGAGATTATAACGGCAATTAATTACAACATAATTAATGAACCCTAAACAGGACAGCTAGTATATGATAGTAATAATAATCCATGTAAAACAGACATGCAATGATTTTTGAACACGTCGGACGTCCATTCACATGCATAGCTATAAAGTTTTTAAATTACCTAGTGCATATAAAAGCACCATACATAGCTACAAAGATTTGAAATTACCTAAGAGTAAATGAAAACACCATAGACAAAGGCTCCACTCCAATCAAAATCAGAACACTTTTACTTCACCTGAAAGCAATCCTGAACTGCAGATGGAGATTAGTGAGCAACACAGTGAACCATCACCATACTCTCAATTTCAAACCAATCGTCACCATCACAAGTCGGTAGCCAATTCAATATTTGAGTCGAAAACCACTAGCAGACGTACTTCTCGAATTCAAAACAATGCAGCTGTTATGAAGTCGTTAAAGTAAATTATTTCACCAGTTGCAATTTCAAATACAGATAAAGTTTCAATCTTTGAAACCAGCATCAGGAAAAACAACTTGCAATTGGAAGGGCTAAAACCAGATATCAAAATTCCATAAAACATCACCAGAAGCAATTAATTGTCAAGACGAGTTTCTTGATAATCCATAACATCAATAGTTATAAATATAAAAGCCAAATCCTCTTCAAACAACATACACTCATACAAGACAGACTCTTAAATTTATGTCACAACCCTGTCTATGAGCATTCTTCTCCGACCCGCAAATTAAAAGGAAAAAAGAAAAGAAATTTAATCATATTTTAGGATATCCGCCGGACAAGTAAAGCTCCTCGTCTATCATCCGGTGGATTCAATGCAAACACCTCAGAGTCGGAGGGCTGTGCAAGCAAGCTCGTCCACCTCAGCGGCG